AATCCACAGGAGTATTTTTTAAGTCATTTAAATACTTTGAAGTGTGAGAAACACAGGTTGCCATGCCATCAACACTTTGTCCCTGACACCCCTTGAATCATATGGAGATGCAAAACAAAACCGAAAACACAACACCCCCATCGTATTTGTTTCCTTAAGTGGCATGTAATATAGATGTAATAATTACAATGGGTTTTATTAGTTCGATTTTATTAGTTCTCTATCATGATGTTCACAAAACCTTTTTCTGACTAAATAAACATTTGCTTTGAGGTAAAATCTGTGGAGTTTTTTAAATGGAAGTGAAAATATGTGGACAAAACCAGAAAATAGATTTATTCATAAAACAGAGAGATTGTGGAAGATAAAAATCAAGATCATATATGTATATTATTGTTTCTGATTTTGTATTTTAAGGGTTCTCTGTCTCTGTCTCTGTCTATCTCTCTGTCTCTGTCTCTGTCTCTCCTGCTAAATTCCATGCATATCAAAAATTGTGTCAGAAAAGCAAGGCAACAGGATTGAAGTGGTTGCTCAACTATGTTTTTTTCTTTTTTAATAAAAACATGATCAACCCGACATTGTGATACATAGCAGTAACCATCTCAATTAGAAGGCTGAGGCAGAAAGATGAATTTGAGGCTAGCATGGATTATGAGACCCTGTCACAAAAACAAAGACAAAATCTTGCTGTAGGGTCCTGTATTTTATCTGGTATTTGTTGGTGTGCCTTCCTTTAAGTGAATAAAAGTATTTTCAAAGGTTCTCTGCTTGGGTTTTTTTCATTGTTTATTCAATGGTTTGGTGGTTATGGGATCATTTCCCCTTAACAACTGGAGTTCTGTGTCCAGACTCAAAGCCCTCTGACTCCAGCTTCTCCATCTTCCACGCCCTCTTCTGGCTTCTCTCAGGAGTTGCACTTATAAACATAGTTATCAGGGAAACACATACAATTCAAAACAATGAAAAAAAACCTTTAAAAACATTCTCAGTTTCTGTGCCCTCCTTCCCTCCCTCCTTCTCCTCCCCCTCTCTCTCCTCCACCTATCTCTTCTCTCTTGCTTTTTCTCTCAAGATAAGGCTTTCTTGATTATGTTAGCCTCAAATTCAACAAGTCAGACTAGTCCTGAGCATCCAATTTTCCTGCTTCACCTTCCTTACTGATTGGGATTATAGCATGCCACAGCATACATCTCAGATTTACTTCTTAACATGAACAAAGGATTCCACTTATAAACCGCATAACATGAGAAACAGCAGCAGCCACTAACCACATAAAGATTCTTTGGGAAGCTGGGTGGAGCTAATGGCAAATGCCTGTAGTCCCTCCAAGGAGGAGGCAGAAGGGGAGCCAATCAGGTGTTCTGGGGCAATTTCTGTTACATAGTGAACCGAAGAGTAACACTGGCTATAAGAGACTGTCTTAAAATTCCAGACAAAATCTCTTTGGGATCAAAAACTTTCACTTTCCTATGGTGAGCCATAGGCTAGAAAGCTTGGTAGCCTTGGAAACAACACCATTGCTTGTTATCTTGGCCAAGTGCACTGGAATTGGAAAACACAAAACCAAAGCTCCCTCTCCAAAAACCCATCTGCCACCCTATTTTGCTGTTTTTCTTTTTTTTTTTTTTTTTTTTTTTTTTTTTTTTGACTTGGGTCCTAAATGGGACTGGCCTCAAATTCTTGCATCTCTTTTGTCAGCCTCTGCAGTACTGGGACTCTAGGCAGAGACTGCATCCAGCCACCCTAAATCTTCACAGAGGGCATCTCACCCTCACGTGAACTTGGGCTGTGAGAAGTTACCAGTGCTGCCCTGTGGTAACATTTTGTTTATGATCCAACAAATAAAGCTTGCCTGAAGATCAGAGTGCAAAGCTAGCCATAGCTACAGAGGCCAGGCAGTGGTGGCACACAAGCTAGTCAGCCCATTATCCATATATATACACCCAATAAACTGGATGCAGCAGGTTGCATTCATATATTTCAGCTCGCTTATTCTCCTATTCTTAACAAGGAAGAATTTGGAAGGGATTTGGGAAAGGATGGGATGAAGAGTAAAGGGGGAAAGTGATGAGATATCTTTCAATTAACAATTTATGGAAATAAATTTTAAATTAAAAAGAGGAGCTAGCAGGTGTCTCAGCAATTAGAAGCACTGGGTGCTGTTACAAAGGACCCAGGTTCCATTCCCAGAACCTAGATGGTAGCTAACCATTTGCTGTAACTCCAGTCCCAGGCATCTCCTGCCTTCTTCTGGCTTCTGTAGGTACTGTGCACGAACACATGCAAAACACCATATAACTAATTTGAAAAAAGAAGTTAGAAAAAGGAAAGAATGAAATTCTATACAGTGATTTCACAGCCCTGGGACAGATGGCAAACCAGGGCTAGTTAAAATGGACTACTTCTGGTCTTGCCTGGAAGCAAAAGCACCCTTGTTCTGGGGTTAATAGAGATAATCAGAACCATTAATCTAAGAGCAGAGTATACAGTGCTGTAAGGTGACTTTTCCTTGAAGTTTTCTGTATTTGTGTTCTCTATCTTTTGTATCTATGAGAATTGTGGTATTGGTATATCTGTCCTTTAAATTAAACATTAAGACTGACACATAGCCTAGGCTCTAAAGCAATCTACTTTCAAGTGTCATTTACTTGATTTTCAGATAAGATATTGTGGTATAAGATAAACATGCCAGAGACATATCTTTCCATCAGTTTTATGATGTGTATATGTTCTTGTATGACTTTAATATACAAATGTCTCTAAATGTCTTTGCCTCTACATTGTGATCATGTTCAGAAGTGGATTTATTAACTGAACATGCTTAGGAATGGGCAGAACTTGATGTGAATATGTCCAGACTCCCTAAGTAAAATCCACATGCTTCCTTTGTTTAGGAAAACCTTTTTTTTTAAATAACTCCTATGCTCTCCTTGCATCCTGCAGGTAAGAAATCTTTCTCACTTCTTCTGTCTTGGTTGTTGTAATGGCTATTCCTAGTAGTCAAACTAACTACCTTGGAATTAACTAAAACCCGAAGAGTTAGGCACATCTGTGAGAGAGTTTTCTTTTCCTTTCTTTCTTTCTTTCTTTCTTTCTTTCTTTCTTTCTTCCCTTGTTTTTTTTTCAAGACAGGGTTTCCCTTGTAGCTTTTGTGTCCTGGAACTCACTCTGTAGACCAGGCGGGCCTTGAAATTACAGAGATTCACCTGCCTCTGCCTCATGAGTGCTGGGATTAAAGGCATGTGCCACAACACCTGAGGGGTAGGGAAGAGAGAGAAAGTTTTCTTAAATTAAACACCCATCTTTAATGTGGATCATTTGAGGTGATAGGATCCACCTTTAGCTGCTTGGTGGCAGTGCATACCTCTAACCCCAGTGCTCAGGAGGCAGAAGAGTCAGATTTCTGAGTTTAAGGTCAGCCTGTTCTACAGAAAAAGTTCCCGGGCTACACAGATAAAACCCATCTTGAAAACACTCAAAAACCAATCAAACAAAGAATAAGACCCACCTTTAATATTTATCCCACCTTCTGGTAGCAGCTGACATGTATACAGGACATTGAAGAAGGAAGCTCTCTCTTTGCCTGCTTGCTCTAGTTCTGGCTACCAAGTTCATTCCTTTACTATCATTAGATCCTACCACTTTGAAATTTTGATATATACTGAAGACCAGCTGAGACATCTAGCCTCATGGACTGAACAACTACTGGGTTCTTCAAATTTACTTTGGTAGGCAGTCATTGTTGGACTACCTGGACCACAGCTTGTGAGACATTCTAATGAATCTATTTTTCACATACATGGAGAGATTCATTCTACCAGTCCTGTTCATGTAGAGAACCTTGAATAATGCAGCTGTGTTATTTCATTTACCTGCCCATGGAGGAAGATGTGTTGGCTAGCAATAGTGTTCATAGACATTCTTCCCAGCTCCAATACTCTCTAAGTATTTGAAGGACCAAACCCCTCCCCACTAGCCTCCAGGAGGCTTAGTTCCTGGAGAGTGTGTTGTATGCAACAGGCCTGGGGTCAAAAATGAACACAAAGAAACTTCAGACCCTCTAGCCTCCTGGAACCTAGAGCCAAAACTGAACACAAAGGAACTCCAGACCCTCTAGCCTCCTGGATACTTAGTTCCTGGAAACTGTGTTTGGCCACAAAGAAACTCCAGGAGAGACCAAAAACCCTTCCATTTAGTCTCCAGGATACTTAGTTCCTGAAAACTATTGGTATCTATGTACAATAGGCCACCTGCAAGTAACAAGACAAAGCCATAGAAACCACAGAATGCTCCCTTCTACAGCCAGCTAATGAGAATAGCTAATAAACAAGTATTTCATGCTAAAATAAGACTTTGAAAAATTCTCCCAAATGTCAACCCATCAGGAACCGACCTGTATCTTTCCCCTCATTTTTTCCTTTAAAAATCCTGGCAGTAGACAAGGAATTCACTCCCTCTAAACCTTGTGCATTTGCATCAGTGAGTCTGTCTCCCTGGTGGTCTTTGGAGATCCTCATGACTTGGGCACAACAGTATTCAACTTTCCAGAAAGATTACTCTTTATGATTGTTCATTTGCCAAGAGTTTGCTCTGAATTTCAGCGTGAAGCTACAGAACAAACATCTCCTTTTTTGTCTTTAAATCTCTTTTTAATTGTTAATATTCTGGGCACCCTTCCACTTGTGGAACAGGAAATCACTCCACCCCACATAGTATAGTGAGCTGTGCAAGCTAGCTAGCCACATCGTGTCCAGGAGGAAGAAAGGCAAGTCTCTATGGAACGCAGGAAGATAACAGGGTCTGCTACCGGAGCTAGGGAGTGCTATTGAAATGCATATTTTTTCAGATCTAGAAAAGGCCTTTGGAGTGGAAGGCAGGTTCAGGAATCATTGTGCTGTGTCTTTAAGCATACTGTATCCCTAGGGGAGGTGCTCTTGTTACTCAGGCCTCACTAGCCAATCAGGCCCTCCAGACGACCTGCCAGTTAGAAGTGGTGCCGGGCACTTCCGGCCTCCCGCTTCAGGACTGTCTTTGAAGAGGAGCTGGCGCCAGCGTTTCGGTGTGCTGTGCTGCGATTGCTGCTACAGAGAGCTGAGCAGGCAGTATGGGCGAGCTGGGAAAGCACAACATGGTGAGCCAGGGGCTGCTGTTCCCGGGTGGGAAAGAGCAGATGGTGAGGTGCGGAAGCCAGTGGGGTGTGTCCTACGCAGATCTGGCTGGAAACCTGCAGCCAGATTTCCTGTCCCGTGAGGTCCCATGTGGTCCCTGAAACTTCTTGACCCAAGGGCAGGCCTCTGAATAACTTAGCTGTGTGGGCTGAGTCTGCTTAGAGCACTGGGAGCCGGGAACTGTGTGTAGAAATATCTCTGTAGTCAACTTCAACATGCTTTTTGGTGCACCCATGGAAAGCAGGTTTCCAAACTTGGAGAAGCCCAGTTTCTCCAGTTTCTTCTAGACAGTCAGCACTTTGTATTTAACCTGTAAGTTCCATTTATAGTCAAGTTTGTGGAGGTTGTAAAAGGCATCTCATGTTTTGTGTATCACTCTACTACTATGCCATGAGTGGAATTGGTGATACAAAGTATTTACTAATGCTTAGGAGATAGCGAGTCTCACAAAGTAGAATTTAGCCGAGGGAGAACTGCTTCTAAAACACTCCAAAGGTAAGTGTATGCTAGCCAGGCCTGTTAGAGATTAGGATGCTAGGATACACATTTGTTATTAGGATTGTCCAGACATTTGGCTCCAAACCATTACAAAGGAGCCACCCCTCCATCCCCGATTTATAACCAGCCTCTAGGCCTAAACCTATGTCAAAGAAAAGGCCTCTAACAAGTTGCCCAAGGAGGCAGAAACTACAGAGTCACCACCAAGCTTTGGGCCTGGTGAGCCATAAAGTTATAGTTTTCTTTTTGAGAAAAGTATAGTTCTGCCAGGTGACAACTATTTGAAAAGTAAAACACTATTGTGTTAAGGACTTGCCTGATTATTCAAGGCTTTCATTTGAGCCCTCAGGCAGAGAGGAGGAACATTCTTGGCAGAGCTAGTTACAGGGGCCTAGGCCTTGAGAGCTTTTCCTAAGGGCCTGACATGACAATGCTCTGGGGCCAGGGCCTTTGTGGAGAAGTTGCTTTAGATCCTGAGATCCCAACTCTTTTCACCATATGGAGCTAGGGTTATCAGTCCCAAAGCCACTGTGGGCTTAGTCAATAATGTTCTTGAGATACCCTGTGTTCCTTTTGTGTAACATTGTTTGATTAGCCTCCTTTTGAGTTTATCCTATTGTATCATAATTTCTGCTGACTTCATAGAAGTCTCCCATTTCCTTGCATTCCCTTCCCTGGAAGTAGTGTACAAGATGCTATTCTTCTCAAGTTGCTCACTTGGCATGCATGGGACCCAGCTTGTGCAAGACCTCCCCACCTCAGCTTTTATCTTTTCTACCTTTTACTTGTCCTAACTTTCTCATCCCCTGTGACCTTCACCACAGGACCCTGTCAATGAAGAATGACCTGCTGTTTCAGGTTGCTGGTATACTTAAGAATTTATTCTGGGAATATCTTTGCTGTGTAACTCTCCCATCTGCCTAAGTGGCTAGACTTGCAAGTTGCCAGTCTGTATTTAATTTGTTCAAAGTGTAACCTGGAGCATGGACCTAAAAGACACTTAAGGATGATGGCATTTTCGGAATGCCAAATCTGTCTAAGTTGGCTCCTCTTTGACCATTAGCCAGAGATGGATGCATGCCATCATTAAAGAGATTTTTTTCTCTATTAATCTCCTAAGTGTGTGAAGTGATTTCTCAGTGGGAAGGCCTATTAATTCTAGAACAGCTGTGTTTCCATCCTGTTTGAAAAAATGTTTCTGAGACAAGTTCTCTTATGTTGACTCTGGTGGCCTTGATTCCAATCTGTTGCTATACAGAACAATGACCTTGCTGTCCTCTATATTACACCTTCAAAATTTTTAAATGACTGTACCACCTCAGAGTTTTAAAATTGTCCATTTGAATCATGTAGTCTACTATCCAATGAAGTCCAGGAAGCAGGTTCACATGTGGAGCATGGCTTCTGCCTTCAGACCAATATAGGAGGCATAGTTTGTTGTGTACACTGCAGGGGGATTCAGGGTAGACAGTCGGCTGCTGGAGTCACCATTGTGTAAAAAGACCTGATTGTGGTAGCAGGAATGCTTTTGTAAATTTCCAACATGTTTTAATTCATGTCATGGGAATGAGCATAGACCAGATTGTGTGGGTGTACAGTGTGGGAAGGTTATCTTAGCCAATGAATATTGTATTTTCAACCATGTGGCTCATCTATGCAGATATGTTCAATACTG